AAACCAGCGGCTACTGGTCAGGAACATTTCTAAAACATCTTTCGTGAAAATGACATTCTGCGTGTGTAACAAAAAAGATACACTTGTTGGTCCAATTGGATTGAGTACATTACTCCCATTGAACCTAATATTTTTTTGCTATAGAACTTTTAAGATTTGTTTTTACTGTTAATATTCCTTCCACATCCCCTTCTGTAAGTAGTTTTAGTGTAAATGTAAAATAATTAGGGAATTTAAACTACAAAAGCTGTAAAGTAAAAAAATGCCTACTGATGTTGTGAATTGTTCAAAATCTCTTGTAATAAATTCTTTATAAAAATAAATAAAAAACATATTTTGTGTGCAAAAAAAAAACTTATAAAAGTTTACAACTTATGAAAGTTTAAATTTTAATTTTATTGAGATCTTTCCAACAGCACACAATAATACACTTGATATATATGGCTTTGAGTAATCAATGTACATTTCTGAAATTTACAGAAATATCCGACCCCTGATGTGACCTGTAAAGGGCATTTGAGGATGAAAAGAGGGACTTCTGCTGACCAATCACATCTGTTAGGTAACAGTCTAGCAGTACTTTCCACTACAGAGCAGAATTGGGGTTGTGATTTAAGTCAATGTGTGATGCACTAACCCCAGGAATAAAACATTAATCTAAATTTGGGCTATTGATGATAATTGACTGATGTCTGGGTCTGTGTTTTCAACTAACTGTTATTTACTTTAGCCATCATTGCTAACAGACAAGTGTTGATCGGCCACCAATAGGACATTTGCTCCTGCAAACAGATAATTTGTCTATATCAATTTCAGAAATGCATCTCCTTTCGTAATATTTACAAAAATTTTAGCCCTACTGTGAAATTAATTTATTTTCAGATATTTCCCACATGCTGAAATAGCATCTTCTTTTTTAACAATAGTTTTAATAAATAATTTCTTTTGTCTTTGCTATGATAATTGCACATTATACCAGCTATTTTGCAAGATATTAGTATTCAGTTTAAAGTGCAATTTAAAGGCTTAACTAGTAGGTTAAATGGAGTACATATAGGTTTCATAATATTAAGCACTAAACATTAGAGGTTTATGGGGCCTGTTGAAAATATATTTTTAAATAATATTTTACAAACAAACTAATAGAAATAAGAATTTCTCCAGAATAATAACATAGGAAATACTGTTTAATAAATGTGTTAAACATCACTAGGGAAATATCTGAAAAAGAATTAAATGTTTATCTGTGTAAATATTTATATACTGATGTAGCATGACCTGTAATAATTGCTCTGTCATGCTATATCCATACAGTGTAGGGATGTATGTTGAGACTACTATAAATGTTTAATCAGACACAGATTAAAATTAGTAAGTGATCTTGCGGCTCAGTAACAGAGGTCACTTCTAAATCCAACAGTGTTTAAATACATAAACGTTCCCTTTTATTAATATGTTTGTGTAAGATCATGATATAATTATCTTAACAAGCATAAATTGCATTCAAGCTATAATATCCTAATATATTCTAATATCCTTATATTGAATCTGTAAAAAAAATCTGTTAATTAACTCTACAGTTCAAGAAAATGAGTTTTTTTTGACATTTTAGTTGTTTGAAATAATATAATGCAAAAGTAATAATATATAAAGAAATAAGTCTGCAGAATAACAGATTATACACGGGTAGGTTACAAGGTTTTGTACCATAATATACAACTCCAACCTAGCCGATTTGCCACTTTAAACTATTCGAAAAAGTCCCTTTGGGAACTTAAGGTTAAAAGTTGTTGGAAGACACATCAAGGTCTCATAATGCAATTCAAAAGCATAAATAAACATTATAAAATCTTGAATTATTCACAGATGATTCCTTGGATTTACAAATAATTTTATGTTAAGTGGTTGTAAACAATGTATTTTGCCTGAATTAAACAAAGCAATTAAGTTAAATATTATTGCATTTAATTAGTTTAAGTTCAACACATAAAACAATATCTGAAAAGTTGTTGCAAACAATTTATTTCTTCAGTGTATGGTGAACTGCTAATTTATAGATATTTTTAACAGTGGATGCATTAAAACAATTTTCAGTTCTTCAAATTAAGTGTCAAAGTTTGTGTATGATCATGCTATAATTATCTCAACAAACATAAATTGCATTTAAGCTATACTATCCCACATGCACTGTACAAAATATGTTAATTAACAGTATTTTGTGATTCACAAGTGTTTTCCCTTTATTTATGGTTGTGAATTGCATTAATGGAACTTTGATCTCTGTCGACTTTTGATGTTGAAAATTCACCTACAGTTTAACAAAGTGACTTTTATTGACATTTTAACAAAGCATAAGAAATTATATGTAGAGAAATATATCTGTAAAATAAAGGAATGCATACGGGCAGCTTGGTTTTGTACCATATTATACGACACCACCAACCCAGACAATTTGTCACTTTAAACTATTCGAAATGTTAGTAAGTCACTTTTTTTGAACTTGAAGGATAAAAGCCGAAAACATCAAGGTCTCATAATGCAATTTAAAAGCATGAATAATCTTTTTTACAGTTGTAAATTGGATTATGGGACGTTGGTCTCTGTTCTGTTGACTTGATGTTGAACTTTCAACATTACAGTTTAAAGTTTACAGTGTCTTAAATAACAGAAAATGCATGGCAGCTTTTTAAACAAGCTGTTTGTACTGCAAGATACAACACCAACTCTGACAATATGTCACTTTAATCTATTTAAAATGTTCATAAAAGTCACTTTGTCAAACATTTCAAGGTTAAAAGATAAAGATATGCAATTCAAAATCAAAAATAAACGGGGAAAAATATCAAATAATAACATAAATCACAAAAAATGGAAAACTGCAAATTTCCGGATATATTTTTACATTGTGGTCTGTTTTGTAGAATACCAAGATTTAAATTACTTCATTAAAGCATCTCCAGTCTAAATCTGACTATGCAGCTCATTTATTATATTAAATATAGCCCCTAAATATGTCCAAGCCTTGAATGAAAGCAACCAACCAACAGCATAGTTAGTGAGTGTAATGGGGTTGCACCATTGATTTCTTTTAAATGGAATAAAGTATCACCACAACTAGCAGAGACAACTTAATTACACTGAATCCAGCAGAGTATGAAATCGGACATGACCGATTGATTCTTTTCTGAACTATCGACTGCTAAAAGTAGTGCCAACATGTGGCCAAATGCCATTAGAAACTTAGCTTTGATAATAACAACTCCCTTCAGCTTTCTGGTTTTTAAGTATTAATCAAATTAAATGTGTAAATGTTTTAGTTTTATGTCTTAAAAAAAGAACCAATAGGTCTTCAGTTCTGTAGAAAACTAATAGGCCTAGTGTGTGTGTTTATCTCAAGTTGGCACCCATGTTGGGCTAGATTTGCAGTTCAGCTGAAAAAATCGTTCTGCAATGGGTGTTAACTAGCAATCAACCACGCAAGACTGTCTAACATTACTTTAATCGATAGCGGGTGCACAATAGCATGAGGCATCAAGTGTACCCAAGCGTAAATTCATACAGCCTACAGAAGTTTTTATGTTTTATTTTATCATTGCAGGGTTTTACTTACGCATGGTATATAGTGGCAGTGTTGGCAAGCTGAATCAATTCAGTTTTCCCTTCATGTTGATAGTGGAGCACTGATTATTGACGCTCTCACATACAGAAGCAGCGCGCTTGCCAACAAAGCCCTGCGCACTCGGAAACCTTCTTTTGGTGCCAACAAAGAGGAAAGAGGGGGTCACAAAAGTTTAGGTGATGTGCTGCGTCAGATGTGCAGGGCACCAACGATTTTTAAATATTTTGGTGGCCTCGACGCGCCTCTATGACCCGCGGGGATTTAAAGCAGCGGCAGACTGTCCATACTGCTGTAAGGTAAATGGGCACATTGATTTCTCCTGCATGACTATAAGTTGGCACCTAGACGACCTGCTTGTTATGTGTGTAGCCCAGACCTTTAATTATAAGCGGGATTGCATGAGTCTAGCTTTTTGTAGCTTGTGTGTAGATGCAGGATGGGCTTGTTACAATGAAGATTTACTTGATTTCCCCAACTTTTGTTTAAGGTACGTTGATGGTTTATAGTTGATTTATTTGCTTTCTATTAAAGATAAAGTCGCATGGAGTTAGAACTGTAAACACAGCAATTGATTTCACTTATTAGCACCACATGCAATGTCAATTTTTTGTGACCCATTAATAGATGTTAATTAAGCTTGCTGTAATTGTATTTCAGTACAAACATGCTTGTATTTAAGGATGTTTATGACCTAATTTCTTGGAACATGTTAAAATATTTTAATAAATATATATTTATTATCTTTAACGTTATATTATTATTATTATTATAGTTATTGTTATTAATTTACATATTTATCTGTGACTACACATTATATATATATATATATATATATATATATATATATATATATATATATATATATATATATATATATATATATATATATATATATATATATATATATATTTAACACAGCTCAGATTGCAGAAAGAAAATTACAATTGTGGTTCTATTTAAGTATTTTAAACCATGTTAGATACACAGCTAATATGTGGGTGGTGCTTTATTTTAAAATGGTAATTAATAACTAATTTATCTAGAAAAATGGTGGAAAGTTTTTTGTTATCATGTTGGTCTGCCATTAATCTAAATTTTGTTGGAGAGATTGGGTTTTTGTACTTGACTTTCAGCTTATAAAATGTTTTGAAACATAGGGTTGAGACTTTTGTCTGGATTTATTGTTTGCATATTTGTGTGAGGTTACTGTTGGAAAACATTGATTTTAAATTAAAGCTCTCAAACATTTAAATAACAGTTTCGTACTTTGGTTGATTTAATTTCAATATATTTTCATATTCAAAAGCAATTTCCCATGGTCTAGGTTCATGTTTCTTTCTTCTTATTTTGTCTTTACAGACACAAAAAAGCCCGAGTAAAGATGGGAGACTGGAACTTTCTTGGTGGGATTTTGGAAGAAGTGCATATCCACTCTACCATGGTGGGAAAAATCTGGCTCACAATCCTCTTCATATTTCGCATGCTGGTGCTTGGTGTGGCAGCGGAGGATGTGTGGAATGATGAACAGGCTGACTTTATCTGCAACACCGAGCAGCCTGGTTGCCGCAATGTGTGCTATGATAAAGCTTTCCCCATTTCCCTAATCCGTTACTGGGTTCTGCAGGTCATATTTGTATCCTCTCCTTCACTGGTGTACATGGGCCATGCCCTCTACCGCCTCCGTGCTCTTGAGAAGGAGCGTCAGCGCAAAAAGATGGCACTGAGACGAGAACTTGAGGGTGTGGATGTGGAGATGGCGGAGGTACGGCGCAAAATAGAACGTGAGCTTCGGCAGATCGACCAGGGGAAATTAAACAAGGCTCCATTGAGGGGGTCTCTTCTACGCACATACGTGGCTCACATAGTCACCCGCTCAGCTGTAGAAGTATTCTTCATGACAGGACAATATGTTCTGTATGGGTTTCAACTGAATACACTGTACAAATGTGAACGAGAGCCTTGTCCCAATGCGGTGGATTGCTTTGTATCTCGACCCACTGAGAAAAGCGTCTTCATGGTGTTCATGCAATGCATAGCTGGCATTTCATTGTTCCTCAACATTCTGGAGATCCTGCACTTGGGCTACAAGAAACTTAAAAAGGTCATTCTAAACTACTACGCACAGCTAAGGGATGATCCCAATGACAGCTACTATCCCAACAAAGTGAAGAAAGATTCTGTGGTGCATCAGACATGCATTGGCACCTCCACTGGACGCAAGGCCACCATTGCTTCTGCACCCAGTGGATACAACCTTCATCTTGATCGACCACCTGATGGAGCTGCCTATCCTCCTTTGATTAACCCATCCTCTGCTTTCTTGCCTGTTCAGGGTGATTTACCAGCTAAAAACGGTGCTGATGAACCAAAGTACTTGCAGAACAGTCCCACAGAGCACAACAGCAATTCAAACAATACCAGCAGTGACTCGCACTCACCACCTTGCAACTCTGTCACTCCACCCAAGCAAGACGAAGGGGAAGATTCTGTCCAAACTTTACCACTGCACAAGAAAGGGCAGGAGTCTAAGTTATCAGAGTCATCGAGCCACACCAGAGAATCGTCTCATGCCTCATCCAGCATGGTAAAGAAACCTTGGAAGGGTAGTGCTCCCTGGAATTGCTCAACAGTCGTAGAAGGTAATGGCTCAGACTCGGATTCCCTGGAAGGCTCCAAAGCTCGTTGTCCTTATTCTGCTGTGCGGGCACGTACCTCATCCAGGTCTGATACCAAGCTGAGCAGGCCCACCTCCCCTGATTCAGTCGAAGAATCGAGCTCTGAGTCACGGCATAGTCCACGAGCGTCACCAAGCCATCGTGCCTCATTGGCCAGCAGTTCCAGCAGCAGACGAGCAGCTCCCACAGACTTACAAATTTAAGGAAAACGTATTGCCTCCTTACAAATTCAGTCACACATCTGAAGAAAGACAAAGGGAAAGATTTTGTCCATCATTTTTCTCTTCTCTAGAAAGGCCAGGAGTCCAAGACTTAAAACTCATTGAGCTATTCTTGGAAATCTTCCCATGCTTGATCTAGCATGGGAAAACAGCTGGAAAAAGCACACCCTGGACCTGCTCAAGAATTGTAGAAGCTAATAGCTCAGGATCCGCTGGAGATGCTTAAGAATTGTAGAAGCTAATGGCTCAGGCTCTGCTGGAGCTGCTCAAGAATCGTAGAAGCTAATGCCTAAGGATCTGCTGGAGCTGCTCAAGCTTTGTAGAAGCGAATGGCTCAGGCTCTGCTGGAGCTGCTCAAGAATTGAAGAAGCGAATGGCTCAGGCTCTGATGGAGCTGCTCAAGATTTGTAGAAGCAAACGGCTTAGACTCTAAAGGCACCAAAGCTCTCTGCCCTTATTCTGTGATGCAGACCTGTTCATCCAGGTCTGATTTAAAACTACACAAGTTCACCTCTCCTGATTCAGATTGGGCACGGCACAGTCCACCAGTGTCAGCAAGCCATCATTCTCCAGCAGTTCCAGTAGTAGACAAGCAGCACCCATAGATTTACAGATGGAAGAAAAACTCATTATGTACATGTCATGTTTACAGTTGGATAATAACCAGAGTCTACAACTTTGATATGAGCACAAACTTAATCTCAGACTCAAAAAAATATCCAACTTTTAAAAGTACTCCTAAAAGTATTGTTTACACTGTCTTTTTATAAATTATTCTGATGCAGCAGAGTACTTGCAGAACTGTTTCACAGAACACAACAGCAATTCTAACAACACCAGCAGTGACTTGACCTTGTCAGCTTGCAACTCAGTAAAGCAAGATGAGTGGGAAGATTCTATACATCCATTACCTCTGCGAAAGATAGGCCAGAAGTCAGTGACTTCGAGCCACACCAGGAACTCTTCTTGTACATCATCCAGAATAGAAAAGATTATTAGGTCAGCACACCCTGGAACTGTTGTAGAAGATTATGGCTCTTATTGCCTAGAAGGTATCAAAGCTTTGCCATCCCTGTGCCACTGTGTGGGCATATAATTTGTCCAGATCCAGTTGCAAGGTGGGCAGGCCCATCTCCCGTGATTCAGTTGAAGAATTGAGCTTGAAGCACCTCAGCAGTGCCAGTTGCAGACTAACAGCTCCCACGGACACATGGTGGAAAAAAGTAGATTCGTTGTAAAATCTACATCTGATGTTAATGCAGAAGTAATCTCAAACTAAAGTTTTGTAAAGTTTTTAAACTGTTGTGACACTCCTAATTGGATCGTTTACACTCTTCTTTATACATATCAATTCAAAAGTTCACTTTTAACAGTTAAACTGCGTCCCAAATGGCACACTATACACTATGTACTTATGCACTTACACACTCAGCAGCATAGTATATGAATGTAGTATCATCCCAAATGGAACACTAATGTTTTTTTACTGACTGCAAATTCTAACCATTTCCCAGGTGACATTTGACGGTTGCCAAACTAGCAAAATAATGACCAAACTGCCAAATGATACCTGCCATGAGAATAATCGATTCACAATCAAAAAAATAAAGTAATCCGACATTAGTGCCTGAAAGCTCCACCCCTTCTAATACATTAGCAAAGTAGCGGATACTGCAAAATGGTGTAGAATAATACACAAGTATGCGATTTTGGACGCACCTTATAATAAAATACCATTTGTAGTATTTGATTATATAAGGATTGTTCTCATTTGGACATTGTTTTTTTTTGAGTACTTCTTGCATCAGAAGTCAAAAAATATGCAATGGTAAAAATTTGTAAAATATTCAAAAATATGATTCTGTAAGAAACGTTTCATGTCTATGTCATATTACCAATAAATTAGCCAGTTTGATTTGCAGTGCAATTTTTAACAAACAAAATCAACATTTCTACACTGACTAAATCTCAGAAAGATTCAAAAAGCATAATGTGCTAGAAAATTGCTTGCAAGAACCAAATTCTCCAAACTGCCTCAATAAATGATGAGATTTTAATTTCTAAGAGTAACCCGACCGGTCTTACACCACCCAACCTGCTCCGAGCTGAGATCAAACCAGCGATCTTCTGCATGGGAGTCGGTTGCTCTTAACAAGGAGATTAAAGACCATGGCCTCTAGGGTCTGTCGCTAGAGGACCTTTAGAGGTCAGAGGAGTGAGGTTTTACCTGCACAGCACTTCACTTGCTGGCCTTTGCTACACTCACCTCCCTAAACCTCACTCCCATCCAGGTCACATCAACAGTATAACCCCACCGGTCCTTATAGCACCCAACCCATTCCATGCTGGGATTGTACTGGCGGCCTTCCACGTGGGAGTCGGTTGCTCTAACAAGGAGGCTGAAAACCATGGCCTCTAGTGTCTATCGCTAGAGCACCTTTAGAGGCCAGAGGAGTGAGGTTTACCTGCACAGCACTTCACTAGCTGGCTTCTGCTACATAAGTAAACTATGCATCATCTAAATGCACATACAGTATACAGTGTACACAGTTTAATCAAGTAGCCTACATGTTTTTTTTATCAGCAAGATGATGGTAAAGTAGCTACTGCTAGTACAATTTGGACTAAAATATTTAATAAAGGGTTCAAATGAACTTATTTTTAATTAAAATTACTTGTATTTATGTTTTTGCACTGTTTCAGATGACGTCTGTTGCCATTAACATTTTTTTATTGCCATCTCTTAGTCACACTTTTTGGATTCTGAAGAAACCAAACTGAAGCAAAGTGAATCACAGCGTGTTGTGCTGTGAAGTGTTACCTCACATTAATAGAAGGCCGATATCCATAGTAGTTGTTGTTATCCAGTTTTAAAGTACAGTTTATAAGACCAGCTATTATATTTTGAGTCTTCGCATACATGTTGAAGGAACTGGATTGGGTTACATTAATTACTTGGGAGTTTTAGCAAAGCAAAGCACGAGCTAAGTATCAAAACATAATCCATGGGTTGCCAAAAGTTACTCAGATGAACCTGTTCTGCAAGACAATTACATTCCTATTGAATTGTCACATTTACTAGAACTATTTCTAGATGTCTTAATTCACCTGAAAATGAACATTTGCTCAGTATATAACCCTCATACCTTGGTTTTTATTACGATGAAAGCTACAGAAGATATTTTGAAAACATCCATTTAATTTTCAAGATAAACTTTCTTATGATCGTCATTTAATTAATGTTATTTATTTATTCATTTTCTTGGTTTATTACCTTTATTCATCAGGGGTCGCCACAGAAGAATGAACTGCCAACTTATCCAGCATTTGTTTTATACAGCGGAAGTCCTTACAACTGCAACCCAGTACTGGGAAACACCCATACACATATTCACACACATACACTATGGAAAATTTAGTTTATTTAATTCATCTACAGCGCATGTCTTTGGACTGTGGGGGAAACCGGTGCATCCAGAGGAAACCCACACAAAAACGGGGAGAACATGCAAACTCCACACATAAATGCCAACTGGCCCAGTCGGATCTCGAACCAGTGACCTTCTTGCTATGAGGTAACAGTGCTAACCACTTTGTTGACACAATATTTATTTATTTACATTTTTAAGGGTTAGGACATTGCAATTTGACATCAAAGTATTATGTGAATGTATGTATATTAGAAAAACTGAACAATTATATTATTGTGGCTGTGGTCTGCTAATGTGTGTTATTGTATAATGGCCTATAATCCAAATTTTGTTAAAGTTGACATGATTTATGTCATAATATGCCATTACATATTCAGCTTTATAAAGTTTATTAGGTTTTGAGGGACTAAAAGACTGACCCAAAACCCGTTTTTCTTTCAAATGAGCATTTTAGCATATTTAACATGCACAATGTGGAAAGGGTTATTTATATCTTGTTTTGGAATAAGTATACAGTTTACTTTATATGTAGGGAGACAGCTGGGAAGCACTATTGAATGGGACAAACGATATTTACCTTCAAATCTTTCAATACATTTTAAGATAAGTGGAAGTTTCAGGTGAAAGGTCGGGGGAAAAAAACAGCCATTCACGCAAATCCGTTTGTCAGGTGACCATCAGGCACATGACTCGGAACGATCCGCCCGCATTTCAACGGCTTACAAGAGTGACATTTTCTTTAGCCAATCAGCGTCTAAGTTGCCACACAGCTGCCCAATTAAATTCGACTGTCGCTCACAACTGGGCGTTTCGTCGAGAAGGGAAACACAAGAGAGACTGAAGATTTAAAGGAGAATCCATAATAAGTTTGCTCACATCCTTTTAGCATAAGGAGGTTTTATGTTTGTTTACTCGGCGTTTATTTCATGTTGATTGGATTACTAATAATTGGGGAGGTTAAAATTTAACGGGGTTGGGGAGGGGGGTCAACATGTCGATCCAGTACGAGGCACCGCTGGCGGACAGCTACGGAGTGGCGGACTCGTTTCCCAAAGATTTCGGATATGGGGAAGAGGAGGGAGACATTGAGGACAGTCCTTCTCCCTCCGACAGTAAACCAAGAATCCTGCTAATGGGGTTGAGGAGGAGCGGGAAGTCCTCTATCCAGAAGGTAGGAGGAATATGTGATATTAGACCGTCTGTGTTCCTCCACTGCTCACCTCTCAGCCGAACGAGTTAGAACCGGGTCTGCTGTCACCGGACACGGTCAAGATCACCCCTCAGAGTCGCTGCAAACAAGCTATTTATTAAGCTGAGAGGATTTACGGATGTAATGCCATACAGGCCTACATACATAACACTGAGATAGCTGTGTGAATGAGGATATTATGTACGTTAGCATATCCAAAAGTCATATTGAGGCGACTCAACCGGCAATGAAATGGCACGTGATTTCTTCTTCATTTCTGCCCTGTGTCCTCAAATGCTTATTCATACATTCAGCATCCACCACATCCTCACATTTAGATTATTTCTATAAAACGTCCCTTT